CTTTGCTGCTGACGCGCGGACTGCTGGCTCCCGAGCCGGGCGTCTCGGTGAGACGACCACAGTCTCTGCCATGTGTCCCTGTGGACGCTCGGAGCCTGTGGACGCTCCTTCACCACGGGGAGCCTCGCTCTGCGTGTCTGGCTACTTTGACTCGTGGCTTCACCGTCCTGGCTGCGTTGGCTCGGGAAGGTGTGAGACCCAGCCTGTGCGGCCCCTGGTGGGAGGAGGGGACGGGAGCACAAGACCCCCGTGACCACCTGCCTTTGCCACCTCTGCCTCTGGCCACGTCGCCCGCCCCTGAGCCAGCTCTAGGGTGGGGGCCTACCTAGGAACTCACTCCTCCTTCCAGTGGCTGGGCTGGCGGCGAGAACGGAGGCCGTCTGCTCAGTCCTGCCCTTGCGAAGCTCCTCACCAGCAGGCCTTGGCTGGCTGCAGTGACATCAGGGACGCAGGGACAGGACGCGCAGGTCTACTCGGGGCGTGGCGGCTCAGATGGAAAAGCGATCGGAGGGGCTGTGGCTCCCTGGCACCCCGGTTCTCGGACTTGCTGGCTCTCAGCCCTCAGGTCTGTGCCTCCTGCTTCCGTCCATCTGTCCGTCAGCGCCCTGGATCAGCAGCTGCTGTGGATTCAGTGCTGGGCAGCCCCGGCTTTCCCAGGGACAGCGTCTCCCTTCCATGCTTTAGTCCCAGAGGCCCTGTCTGAAAACCCATGTGTCTCTCATTTAGAACCGCGTACAACGGGCCTGACTATGTCATTTTTATTACCTGAGACATAAATTGCATTTTTCTCCTTATTTTATTGTCAAATGTTCAGGGGAGCTCAGTGCCGCTTAAACTGACAAACAATTTCTGCCCTCCCTAATGGTTTATTTTGTAACCTGGAAAATGACTCACCTGGCCTGTTTCTCCTAGTGTGAAATGAGATGATGGTTCCTGCTTTGCTCAAGCATTGGGGAGATTGTGTCCAGATGGGGCTTGTTCAGAAGGGGGCTGTGTGCGAGGCTGAAAGACCGTTCATTGTTCCCCTTAAGACACGTCTGTTCAAACGCGATCGGTTCCCTGTTCCTGGAGGTGAAAATGTCCAAATACGGAAATGGGGTCGCCAGACTGGCAAACCCAGAACACGGAGCCCCCGTGACCCGAGGATTGTCTGCTAACACTTGCCTGTCCACACAGGCCTGTCGTGAGTGGAGGTCCCTGAGGACAGACACGTGCTTCCGGGCACGGCGTCCCTGCGGTGGGCTGTCCGGGGAGCCCGTCTCGCTGTTAGCCTTCAGCACACGGCGGGCTGAGGCGAGCGTGGACGCCGGGTTCAGTGGTGAGGATTTTTTTTTGTAAGCCCCTCCTGTCCGGGCCTGGTCTGCCCCGACCAGCGGACCCTGTTGCCTCAGTGTCCCCTTTAACCTCCTGCCACCCTGGGACATCACCGTCAGGGTCACAGGGGAGACACGGTGGATCAGAGGTCCCTTAGCCCCAGAGCAGACGCCCCACTTAATTCCAGATCCACCGGAGGACATCCGTTCCAGACGAGCCATCCATCCGAGGTCACTACTGCCTTCAGGGTAGAAACAGTGAATTCTCTCTCTCCTGCCGTCTTCCCTGGGCTTCATCCGTGTCCCAGAGTCGGCCCTTCTCCCCACAGGAACCCTGAAGACTGTCTCACCACCTCCCAAGGTCACTTCTCTTACTTTGGGATGTACCCCACATAGTTCCCAGATCCAAGAGGTCTTCTAGATCATTTCATTTTATGGACGGGGAGACTGGGACCAGGGGATGCCAATTTTTACTGAGGACTAGATGGAACCTAGAATTTTCCTTTGCATTAGGAGATACTGATCTATTTCTCCTCTCTTTTTGACACGTCACATATTTTTGTCTGCAGTTCATGTTAATAATTATAAAAACAATGTTTGAATGTTTTTAAAAAAATCCTGGCGTTTGTCCCCCTGAAGCAATCATTGCTGAGTGGAGGGTCCAGGTCTCGCCAGATCTGCTGCCCTGCTGTGTGCCCGGGAGCTGTCCGTCGGTGGCCCGATGCCCTGATTTCTTCAAGGGCCTGAGTTATGGCCCCTTGTGTGCCTTCCCAGGGCTGTCGCTGTGTCCTGGCCTCAGGTCGCCCCAACAGACTCGGGGGAAGAGCCAGCTAACTGCCCGCATCACCTTCCTGCGTGTCCCCCGCAGCCCCGGGGCTGGGCCGGCTTGTGCACGAGCCACAGATCAGGGCCTGTCAGGGGACGGACGTGGTGATTTTCAGCAGAGAGGCCTTACCTCCTTCCAGACCTCCCCGCGGACTGAACTTGAGGGAGGCAACTCTCACTAGAGACGAGGCTGGCGAGCTCGCGGCCTTGCCGTCAGGTCTCTGAACACGGAGTTTGTGGAGTGCGTCCCTTACGGGGGCTGTGACCTTCCACGGAGAGCTGCGGACAGACACAGGGTCCAACGCGGAGGACAGCTCACCCTCCCGGGCTCTCTGCGCGCACGGCCCCTCGAGGTTTGCGGGAAATGCCGAACAGTGGCTCCAGCTTGGGCTTAGGGCCGGCAGTAAACCGCCATCTGCTCATTTCTAGTGACAAACAGGTCCCAGGGCCGGAACCACGTCGGTGGAGACCAGGGCCATCCCCGAAGAGTGGGACTCTGGCCCAAGTCCACCTGTTTCCGTCCCTCGGGCCTGCCTTGGGCCGGGTCTCAGCCAGTGGCTCAGTGTGTCCCTGTTCCTGGGCAGCAGGGAATGTGCATCTGAGGTCACGCCTGGTGACCTAGGAGCTCCTTCGACGCTGTCCTCTGTGGGCCTGGCAGGGCCAGGGCCTCCAGAACTGCTTCTCCAGTGTCTCCTGGGCACTGTAGAGCACAGTGGTGGGTGGTGGGATCTAGGAGCCATGGGCTGAAGCCAAGACAGGGATCCCTGGGGTCTGGCGTCTCGTCACCAGCCCGAGCCCCTCGGATGGGTCAAGTGGGATGGAGCATTCTAGAAGTCTGCCCGTGATCCAGTGAAATCGCCAATACTCGTCCTATGGCCGGTTCCACAAGAAGCAGAAGGTGTTACTGTTGAGGTTGCTAGATGGTTGGGTCCTGAGTCTTCACGACATAAAGGGTCTCCATGGAGTAAAGAAGGGGAGTGGGCAGCCCGGGAGGAAGCGTGGACACACACGACTTGGACGTTGACGCTGGTGAATCAGGCATCTTGAGGACAAGGAGTCCCCACATGTAGCATAAGATGTTGACAGAGTTGTCCCGGGATTTCAAACAGAAACACGCGCTCTCCTCGGACACCGGGTAAACTGAGTCAGGCTTTTCTTCCCCTCAGCTTTCCCAGCCCGTGCCTCACTTTCTGCCGTGTTTTGTACCTTGAGCTCCTCCCTGCACAGGACGTACAGCCCATGCTGTGGGGCTGGGGCTGCGGGTTGGCGCCGCAGCCCCATGTGGAGCCCACAGAGGGCCGGGCACCCAGACTCCTGACTGCTGCACCTGGATGGAAGGTGGGCTTTGGGGAGGAATCCCTACAGGTTCTGGAGAGGTTAGCCCCATCCTGGGGCTCTGCTTGTCCCCATGAATGGTAATAAAGTGTCACCACTGCCCTGAGGTTAGAATTTTGATGGCTCAGGTTTGGTTCAACAGTTCATAGAAAGTTGACTGTTCCCTCCCCAGGGCTGAACTGGACATTGACCTGGATTTGCCAGGCCCTGACCCATGTCTCCTGGAGGTGGTCATGGCTGCCCTGGGGCCTGGAGGTCAGCGCTGACCCACCTCTGCGCTCTGGGACTGGCTGCCCCGTTGGCTGGACCCAGCTCTGCAGCTGTGAGGGTGCCAGGTGCAGACGCCCACTGTGGACAGATGATGGGGTGCGATGTGGGGTGCCGGCATGTGTGGCCCCTTCCCGAAGCCTCCTTGCCGGGATAGGTGGTAGGGGAATCCATGTTTGTGGCGGGCTAAGGAAGGTGGGATGGAGGGGCAGGGGGCTCCTTTGGCCGCCAAGTCTGCCCTTCCCCAGCTCTGCCTGGAGAGCACAGACCTCGAGGCACCTTCCCTGTGCCTGCCTTGTGTGTGTGTGCACGCGTGTGTGTGTGTGTGTGTGTGTGCATGTCTGCCTTGTGTGTGCGTGCGCGTGTGTGTGCATGTGTGTGTGTGTGTGTGTGTGTGTGTGTAAAGCAGTGTCTTCCTGCCCCTTCCTGTCTTCCCCAGGGAAGGATCCATGCCGGACAGACAGCAGCTCCCGGTCAGGCAACCCCTCTTTCCAATGGCCCTGACCATCAAGTCTCATCTAGACAGGATGTGTTTGTTAGGTTGGGGTGTGGTTCGGTGGTTTGGGATTTTTTGCTTTAACTCTTCGTATTAAAATGCTGGTTCATTGTGCTGTGTTTCGCCGCACCTATTTATGGCTTGCAAACGTCTGGGGCTGTGTGGACAGTTTGGAATAAGAGGAAGACTGATCTTTTTCTGTAGGCAGAAGCTACATTTTTGCCATTTCCCCCTTCCTTTCCCAAACAACTGCTTTGCAAAGGGCCATGTGGATTGACCCATGGCGAAGCCAGCACCCACGTCAGTGATAGGTTGCACAGCGGTAACTGGGGGTCTGCCCGGCGTGGACCCCACCCATCCCCCTGTCAGGATGGGGACCAAAGGTGGTCAGTTGTGGCCACCAACCACCAAGGCCAAGAAAGCCTGGCTCTTCTGTCCCACGTTGACCCTTGGCCCTTGTCAAGGAGCCTTTCTGTGTGGGAACTTGTGGCCATCCATCCAAACCCCATGGCCCGGTCCTCCGGCTGTGGCCAGCAGCACTGTGGCTGCTGCCCGGGCTCAGAAGGCATTGCCAGAGGAGCTCAGTGTCCTGGGAGGGGCTCAGTCATAAGACCATGGTCAAGGCCAGGGACCACACAGCTTCGCAGTGGGATGTGCGGCGTGGGCTGCCACATTGAATTTTCAAGGCAACTTTCTGTCCTTGTTTAGTTTTCCAAAGGGACGTGACAAATGGGTTGCTAACGACAGTTGTTTTGGTCCAACAGACAGAAGCAGAGAGCGCAGCCGAGCGCCCGGCGCCCCCGCCCTCATGCTGCACGCCGAGACGAAGAGCCCGGCCGGGCCCAGGGAAGAGAAGGTGGGTAGGTGGGCTCCGCTGGCGCTTCACAGACGTGCAGCCGGGTGAGCGGCACTCAGAGCCGGGACTCCCTGCCCCGCACGTGTTTTCTCACCTGTCTCCCGGGGGGCGCTAGGGGAGGGGTGCTCTATGACACGGAGCCAAATCGGGCAGGACAGTTCAGAGCATGGCAGAGGGGCGGGGGTCCGAGGCTTTGGTAACAGCCGTCTGGCCTTCCTGGTGGGTCCCGTTCCAGGGCTCGCCAGGCGGGCTCCGTGTGGAGGAGTTGGTGCTGACCTGGCTTCCCACGGGTGCTGTCCCCACACTTCAGACAGGGTGGGCCGCCAGGCTGCGGGGACACAGGTGCCACCGAGGCAAGGCCAGAGCCCGTGTTTGGATTATTTTAGCTGTGTGTGGACCTCCCCCAGCCCCACACCTTTGTGTTTTCTCCTCTCATTCTAGTCAGAGGCTTCTCTTGGCCTTTCTGCCAAACGGCATTTTAGGATTGACCATGAGTGCATCCGGCGTGTTTACCTTCCATGAATGACCCAAGGGATTAGCTTTTATTGCTACGTTTGAAAATCACAAATGGCACTTCATTTGCTCTGATCTCGAGCATCCTGGAGGCCCGTGGTCCACCTCCGAGCCTTGTTCACGTTCACTCAAAACTCCTTCCAGCGGGTCCATCTCTGCTGCGGGTGTGAACATCGCATTCCCGCCAGCCTTCCCACCGTGCCCCTGCGTCGTCCCTGGCCGTCATGCCCTCCCCGTCCTTAGCGCCGGTGTCCGGGCGTAAACGGGTCACACGGTGTTAGCGCGCAGTGAACTTCTGCTCCTGGACGTAGGATTTCTCTGTGAGAGATGAACGCTCGTGCCAGAATTCCATATTTATTAAACAAATATCCTTCCTGGTGCCTTAACTACTTTCTTTATCCCTGGGCTCCACGTCTTTAATTCACTTTTATCACTTTAGTGCGGAAAGGGAGTTTTATGCCACTTTTACCACCAACAGGAAATCATGAGTGGCGAGTGCCACATGAAGACCTTGGTAATTAGCGGGAGAGAATCCGAGCATTGCCAAATGTAAATGTCCATCCCCGCCACAAATCACGCCCCCGCCAGATCTGCGTGAGTGATTAGCCGGGGTAACCCACGGCTCAGAGGCCCTCGTTGGGTTTCCAGTGTTCAATTAGCTTCATAATGAAAACCTCCCTTCGTGTTTCTAATTGGATTAGAAGTATAAACTCTGTCCTCCATATATTTTTTTAACACCACTTTCCGAGTCTTCCCTGTTATGTTCATTATTTATCCTGACCTTTTTTCCCTCACAGGAAGGAAAGACACCTTCTAGGACCCAAAGATTCTAGAAGAAATTATTTTTAAACTTAGGGATAATTATATAAATTAAAAATCATTTATTCTGTGTCATTATCTGTGGCAGTGAATGGAGAACAACAGGCAGAGCCAGTGAAAGGCCCGGGGTGCTCACGCCTGAGTGGGATGGCCCCTCACTTCCCCGGTGTCGCCTGTCCAGCGGGGGAGCGGTGCCCTGTCTGATCTGTCCTCAGCCGACACCTCGCGGGGTCTTTTCCGGAGGCGTGTTGTCAGCTCAGGACTCCTGTCCTTCCTCTCGGCCGGCTCTGCTCTGCTGGCCACTCCCGCCTGACTACGGGGCCCTTCTGAGGTCCTGTCTCGTGGCTGGGCAGGGGTGGGGGGTGATGGCCCCGCCAAGTGCCACGTTCCCGGCGTGGGGCTGTGTTCGCCTGGGCTCTCAGACCCTCGGTGTTCTTGGAGCGTTTTGTCTGACTCTCATGTTGTCAGTGTTCCGTAGTTGAGCATTTGCCTTTCCAGCTCGTGTGTTTGTGCGGAGGGTGACGCGGTGGGTGCTGGCGGGGGTGCGCGAGGGCACACACGGGCTTCTGTGCACGTGGCCTCCTCGCTGGCGGGCCCCATGGCAGGTGCTCACACGGCGGCCCCGTTCAGCCTCCTGGTTGAGACCATCCAAACACATGGTTAATCACCTCCTCACCCACAGTGTCCCTTAAAGTCCCAGCTTGAGCCGTGCTGGAAAGCAAGATGGCATCCTTTTCCCTTCTTTCTTTTATTCGAGGAATCAAGAGATTTAATGGCACCTGAAATTCTCAGCCAAGAGCCCTTTCATTGCTTTGAATAACATCCTTAGTGTTTTTTCATCTCACCCGATTGTTTGAGAGAAGGAGAACCCAGTACTGTGTTATTATGAGATCGAAACTGTAGGAACAGCTGGGAAAGGAAAACACGTCCCCCCCACACTGCGAGCATTTGCTGAGCTCGCTGAGACCCCCCGCCTCTCCTTAACCACTCTAGAGTCGAGGGGACACTTTTCCGACGATTCCTCCTCAGGGCCTTCCGGTCCTCCTGCGGGAACTCGGATTGGTTTTCCCTCCGTCTGGCAGAGAGCCGGTGCTCCAACCGCAGGAAGGCAGCTAAATCAGTTAATCCAAACCTTCGGTCTGTGTTTATGTCCCCCTAATTTCTATCCTCAAGCAGCTTTCATCTGTCTGCAAACTGTGTCCATAATGAATGATGAGCAAGGGTCCTGGCCATGTTTTGTTTTGTTTACCTTTTTAATAGTAGAGAATAAATCTTCATTTTCTTCTAGGTGGTGTCGCGTTCAAACATTCCTTATTTTCTAAACAGAAATAGAGTGATTTCCAAACCAACTCTGCCTCCGCGTACCGTGTCCTGCCCCCGAACGCTGTCCCCGGCTAGATGCACGGAAGGGCAGCCAGCCTCACACGATGCTGCAAGGAAGTAGGCTTGTGTCCTCCTGCCTTCTCGGGCCCGGGATGAGCCAGCCCCAGTGGCACCCGGGACCCCTTGCTGCGTCAGGCTCCCTACCACAGTGCACGGTTTCAGATCTCCTGGACCCCAGCTTCTGAGTCAGCCCATTTCTGGAGCTGAATCCCACGTGATTTTTTTTTTTTTTTTTAACCCACGAGATGTGAAGGCATCCAGAAGCATTCTCTTGGCTGCTTCTGCCCATCTCCGTGTCTGCAAAAGCAGATAGTTTAGCCAATTTGGGGTAATTAGGGAGATGCCTTTGTCTGAGTTCCTCAGCACGGTCTGTTGTGCCTTAAATTCTGTATTCTCAGCATAATTGCCCAGTCCCATTTGCTTTGCTGTACCGAGCAGGTCATTATCGAGTGGGTACGTAGGCAGGTCTGTCTGCAGCAGACTCGTTACTCTTCCCTTGGTTGCCTAATCGAAGATGAGTGTTTAAATTAAAAAACAAAAAACAAAACAAAACAAAACAAAAAACAAAAACAAAAACAAACCAGTGTTGTCTTTGTCTTTCTGTTGAAAGGAACCGCCATCGATATTAGTCACCAGAGAGGACAGTGCAGCCAAAGGAAACAGACCCGTGGCCTCCACTCCAGTGCCCGGCTCCCCCTGGTAAGATGCTCCGAGACCTGAGAGCAAGGACAGGTAGCCTCGTCTACACCCGGTGCCTGCCTGCTGGCACCAATGAGAGAATGTACGTTCCTTCGGTGATAATACAGTGCTTTAAAAAATTAGTTTGCAGCTCATGGCAGCTCCAGCTCCACACCGTTGTGACGTTCTGCAGGAAGAAAGTAGCATTTAAGTGATACGTTACCCTGCTCCATACGCTTGCGAATCTGTATCCAGATAATAAGCTATTGCATATATATCAGTGAAAGACCGTGTCTGAAGAAAACACAGCACGCATTAGGCTTCAAAGGGCTTTTCTTCCCTCTCCTCTAAGAACACAGTAACTGAATGGCTGTTAATTAAAGATGTGTCTGGCTCTCTCCGGCTGCCCTGGGAGGATTCCTGATCTTTGAGTACGCCGTGCTCGAAAGACCCTCCACGAGGGAGCCACTGTCTTTGGTTTTTAAAAATGTCCTTTTATAATGGAATAATTTGGAAGCAGAATAAAAAGGTTATTATAATAAAAATTAGTTCTGAAACCTGAAGATGAAAGGGTAGAACAGAGCTGGAAGGGACAGCTAATTCGGACAACGGAGACCGCGCCTGGGTGTCTGCGTCAGGTGCGTTTGCGTAGGAACCTGGTGGGACACCAGCCTCACACGGAGTCCCTGGTGACTGGCGATGCGGGAAGAGCAGGCTGGGCCTCTGCCGGGCCCCGGGGCTCGGCCCTGAGCACCTGCTTGTTGTGCTAAGTCATGTTCTTCGCCGGCGAGACGGGGCATGTGCTCCTTCCCCGCGCGGCCAGCCCTGGCGCACCCCCCCAGCCACGTCCCGTCTTCAGCTGAACCCACTGTTGGCACAGGCCCTTCTTTGGCTGACAGTTCACACCCAGCTCTCCGGTCGTCCCAACGCTTAGGGAGTGTCCTACAATTCAGTTGTGATACCGACGCAGAGTGGTCCGGACCCAGGAGATAAGGGCTCCGTCCCCCAATGGTGCCCTTGCTTCAGACCCGAATGCAAATGGGGCACAGGCGACCTGCACACTGGCCTGGCTGACCACCAACGCGGGGCTTCCTACAGCTCCCTTTGGGTGTGAGGTTTTGCTAGGACGACTCACAGAGCTCAGGGAAAGGGTTTCCTCGTGGTTGCGGTTTTACGAGGAAGGTTACAGCTCAATGGAGGAGACCAGCGCTTGAGCTGTGTGGGGAGGTCTGCGACCTTCCGTGCCCCCGAGAGCAGCACCCCAGACATGGGTGCTCACGCGCCCCGGTATTTATGGACGTGGCATCACAAACGCATGGCTCCTTGGATCACTGGGCAAATGGAGTGAAGACCACAAACGCATTCTCTGTGACGCCACGAGCACTGCCCAGCGCTTCCGTAACCAGACTCCCCGGTGTGTGTCCATGGTAGTTGCACTTTCCACGTCCTGCTGAGGGGGCGGGGCAAATTCAGCGCAGGGGAGTGGGGCTTGGAGGATTATGATTCCGTCGAAAACGTGACCTTGAGCAGTGGAGGTCTCTAACTGTGAAGCCACGGCGCTCCTTCCTCTGTAACACCGCGTGAGAGCGCAGAGGGCTAATCGGACCAGAGCAGTCCTGCGGTCCCTCCTGTCGCTCCCTGCAGCGGGGGCCTTTGTCTGTAAACTGCGAACCAGCCTGTGCCCTTCCTGGGCCTCCTGGGCGGGCCGCAGCCGGCTGTGGAGCCTGAAGTCTGGCATCCTCTCGATGACTCACCAGCAGGATGGGGACGGCGGCCCCGGGCAGGCCGGCCGGGCACAGGCAGGGTCACCATTCTGCAGGATGTCACAGGCCCGCAGGGGCGCAGACAGCTTCCACGACGCGAGGTGGTGCTTTCTGGGTGGGAGTCAGGTGTGCTGGCTGGAACCCGCCCGTCCCTTCCCCGAGGCTGCTGGGAGGCTGCCCAGGCCGCTCTCTGTTCCTCCGGCCGTGCTTTTCCGACCGGCGCCCTTGAAGGAGAGTGCTCTGGCCTTGTTGAGCGGCTGTTCAGCTAAGGGCTGGAGTGTGGACAGACGCCCTCCCCCGACACCTTCAAGCCTGGGTTTGCAGGTCCCCTGAACGCGGAGGAGGGACCTTTGACCTCGCGGGGGAGAGGCCCCCACTCCCTTATTCGGCAGCTGGGAGGCGGCTTCACGTGCAGCTCTGACATCCTCATCGGCATTGGCGTCGCACGCGTGGGAGCCTGGCCCCAGCGCTCCACACGGACCTCCCAGTCTGCCTCCGGGAAGGGCCCTGCCTGGGGCGCCGTGCCTGCTTCCCGTGCGCAAACCAGTCCCGACAGCCCTGTTCTGCGGGTTTGCTCTGGGCCGCCTTTCTTCCGGGCCATTGATTCTCAGGAAGTCGGAGGACAGAGGGACCCACGGCAGGTGCAGGGCCCTAGCTCTGTCCCCTGTCACCCTCACCAGCCACTTGTGCATCAGGACGTCTGAATCGGCCCATGGCATGTTGACGACTCCGTCATCCAGACGGCGACTCTTCTAGGAACACAACTGTGCCTCTTGTTCAGAGGGCTTGATGCTGAGGTGTTCCATGGGGAGGCGGGGTGGGGGATGGAGGGATGTGACTGGGTCCCTTGGAGGTGAGTCGGGAATGCAGGCATGTCCATGGGTGTGACTGGGTGGCCATGGGGTGGGCGCCACTTCCCAGGAGCTCTGTGTTTTCACTGAGTCTCTTTACATGTCACTGTCCAACACCAGGGCTCCCCACTCAAGTCTGGGGGAATTTGGTCCTTGCTCTTCCCCGAAGGCACGCCTTCTCCATGGTGGCCCTGTCGGTCAGGCAGGCCCCATTCCTGTCCCCAGGAGCAGACCCTCGTCCAGAGGAAACTGTGAGGGCTCAGGTCAAGAGCCAGGAGTGAGACATCACCTGTGAACCTGAGCCTTAACCTCAGACCAACATTCTCCAGAGAAAACTTGGGATTTCTAGAAGATTCTAGAGGTTTCAGGATAGGTGGGGCAGGCCACATAGGCTGGGAAAGGACCACTCTTGACCACCACAGAGCTCTGTGGGGGCTGTTGGCATCACATAAGGAAGTAAGAGGTTTTGGAATCTACTCAGAACATGTAAAATGGAAAAAAATGGGAATCAAAACATTCTGTTTTCTTTTTGTTAAAGATTTTATTTATTCATTTGAGACAGAGAGAGAGAGAAAGAGGGCATGAATCGGGGGGTGAGGCAGAGGGAGAAGCAGCCTCCTCACTGAGCAGGGAGCCTGATGTGGGGCTCGGTCCCAGGACCCTGATGCTTCATAGTCTGAGCCAGTCAGGCGCCCCTAAAATGAAAATCAAAATATTCTTACTCTGCTAACATTTTCACTGTGCTCACATTTTTACCAAATTGGAGCTGAGCCGTTGAATGTGTGGGAGGACGGCAGGGTCAGCTAAGACCCCAAATCACTCTAACGTAGTGGGAAAGCAGAAACTTGCTGTGAAAGGTTGGAAGTTCTGCTCCTTGGGGACCCCGGCGAAAGCTTTGCAGGCGAGACCGGGGAAGGCACTCCTGCTCCTGGTTCCGTGGGCGGCCGGTGAGTGTGAGTGGAGTGCCACCAACGAGTGGCTTCCGTGATCATTCCCAATCGTGCGGCCAAGACACACGGTCCGACGTACAGCCTTCTTCAAAGTACCTGCATCACACAAAGACCTTTAGAGATGCCAGGCCAGTGCCGGGACACCCGGTCGACACGGGGAAGGAGCCGACCCACATTCTTCCCGCCTGTGCCAGCCGAACCACGGACATGGCTTCGGAGCCCGAAATGGTGTCTTTAGCCGGTCTGCGACTCAGAAGCCCACGGAGACCAGTGCCACCAGGAGGGCCTCGGGATGCCATAATCTGACATGTGAAATTTTCAGGAGAAACAAGAAAATGAAGACTATGTATGAACTTCCATAGAAAGTGACGTCTTATCTGCCTCAACATGGAAGAAGAAGCCGGAGGGAGAGACGTGATGTCACCCGAGCCCGTCTTCCGGGTCTGTCTTCCGTGTGGCCGTTACGGAGTAGCACTGATGGGTCTCCTACGGATCTCTGTGTATCCATTTCTCGGGCTCACCTTCCTCCTTCTTTATAATTTGGCTTTTGACCCACAGGCCATTCGGGAACAATTCAGCCACTCTCTAATTGGAGGGTCATGAAAATGTTCTCCTTGGAACCGTTGAAGACACGAAAAAAACTGAAAACTGTTGAAGTGTAAAGTTCATGAGCTTTGGCTCAATTGACAATCAGTGCTGGTGCCAATCAATAACATGTTACAATTCTTTACAAGACTATGGATTTACAAGTAATTCTCTATTTTTGTAAAATTTAAAAAAATGAACATTGTTTTGAAATAAGACCATTTTTCAAGAAGTCAAGATTAATGTAGTGAGTTTTATGTCTGTGGTGCCTGCATAGCAAACCCCGGACTCCTTCTCCCAGCAGCTTAGAAGGAGATGAGGGCCTGCTCGGGGCCGACCAGAGCTGGAGGCACCGGCAGGAAGCTGACTCTGCCAGCCAGCGGGTGCCACCTCCCAGCGAGGCCCACTCGTGCAGCTGCCGTGAGGAAGGACGCAGTTTGGCGGGAGTGCGTGGGACGCTGCCCAAGTGGCTATGGTTGGCGTGGGAGTCTCAGTGTGGCCACGGAGAAGCTGGCGCGGGTGTAACCTTCTGCCTGGGAGCGGGAGGGCCTCCTCTGGACAGGAGCCTAGAGGCACGACGCCCGGGTGCACGCCCTGCTCACCCCGACTGTGTGATCACAGCATGCTTGTCATTCCAACTTCATTCGCTATCTTAGCCCCAACTGACGGCATCTTTTTATTCAGTCGTAACTACCCATTCGCTGAGTGTGATGTTTTAATAGCAGGTTCTCTGGGTTTTTCTAAATCTTGGTAGTGGACACGTTTGGCTTGTTCTTGGGTGAAGTTGGCAGAACTTTCCCAGAAAGGAAATTCCCCAGAGCATCGTCGGTGTGGATGACGTTTGACGAGAACAAGGTTATCAGAAAGCGCCG